CTGCCCGCTTCTCCCCCCCTCGCCCCCTTCCGCCGGGCCTCGCAGCCTGCCCGGAACCAGCGTGGTGGGGGCATGCAGGGCTTCGGAGAAGCCCGAGCAACCGAACAGACAAGCCACGCGAGGCATCTCCAAAGTCTGGGCGCGAAGGTGCCCGTGAGAGCACTCGGTCGGCCCCCCCGCGGCCGCGCCGAAATCGGCCACGGGCCCGGGGCACCCCCGCCCGTTGCCCGGAGAGCCGGGGAGGCCGAGCCACCGGACAAGCCTCCTCCTCCTCCTCCTCCTCCTCCTCCTCCTCCTCCTCCTCCTCCTCCCCTCCTCCTCCTCCTCCTCCTCCTCCTCCTCCTCCTCCTCCTCCTCCTCCTCCTCCCCCACAGCCTGGGCGCGGACGGGCCCGTGCAAGCTCCCGGCCCGCTCCCCCGCGGGGTGCCGAGACCGGCGCCTCGCGCGGGGCCCTCTCGCAGTCTGGCCTCGAAGCCGCAGGAGTCAGGAGGGGGAAAAAACACACAGACACAATGAATCCTCGATCCCTATGGGGAAGACAGGAACCCAGACAATATAGGAGAATATGGAGAATATTTTTATTTGTGTGCATTTATTTGCGTGTCCTGGGGCCCCTGCAGTCTGGTTTCGAGACCGCAGGAGGCCAGGCGGCAGAGCAGACCAGCCGCCCGAGAGGCAGCCCAGCTCTCCTGGGGGCGCGAACGGGCGCGCGGAAGCACTTTTGGCGGCTCCCGCTCCGGGAGTGCGGGTGCTGGCGCCTCGCTCGAAGAATCCCCCCAACCTCCTTTGTGTGTGAGCAAGCTTGGGCGCGAGCAAGTATAATCGGAGGTTGACAGACCTCCTACCCTGACACGTCGATTGAGGAATTGGCCGTTTTCGGTTCGCGAGAGGGCGTCGCGGCCGTCATTTTTACGGGTCCAGCTCCGTCGGTTTCGGTCCCAGGCCTGTTTCAGTAAGGGGAGGTCTACTAAAGGGAGGTTTGTCCACCTCCGGTATAGGTGTGAGTGAGGTTGACTGCGAGTCAGCATGAGTGCGAGTGGGTTCACGCCTGAGTTAGTCTGAGTGTGAGCGAGTCTGAGTGTGCGTGAGCCTGAATGTGAGTGAGTCGGAGTGCGGGTGAGTCCGACTGTGTGTGAGTCTGATTGCTGTAAGAATGGGCGTGGATGAGTTTGAATTTGAGTGCGAGTGAGTCTGAGGGTGAGTGAGTCTGAGGGTGAGTGAGTCTGAGGGAGGCACAAGAAGGAAGGAATGGAGGAAGAACGGCAGGAGTCGGAGGCATCTTTGTAATAGCGAGAACCCCATCTCAGGATACGGGGGAGCATGGTGGTGACCTTATGATCGCTCTCTGGCATTAGCGTTCTCATCTTGTCGGGCTCCCGACGTTGGAAGACGGTCCAGGAGGCCCCGAAGCTCGCCCCTGGAGAGCCCCAAGGCAGCCCAAGAGGCGCCCAAACCGCCCAGCAGCCTGCCCGGGCGGCCACAAAACCGCCCCAGGAAGACCGCAATCCCCGGACTCCCCCGGGAGGCTCCCCGAGCCGGCTGGTGGTCCAGAAATGCAGCCAGGCGCTCCCACATGACGCCCTGAGACCGCCTCCAGATAGCTCTCCGAGCGCCCCCGGACCAAAAGCACATGCTTCTCGATGGCTCTCTCTGATTTCAGCACTCTCGCCTTGGAGAGCTTCGACGCGGCGAACAAGGCCCCCAAGCTCGCCCCAAGACGGCCCCCCGGGCCCCCAAGAGCACACCAAGAGGACCCAAGAAAGGTCCCAAACGGCCCAAGAGGCGCCCAAGACGGCTCACGAGGGCCCTCAGTGGGCTCCAAACGGAGCATAAGAGGTGGAGCTCGAACCGATCTTTTGAGCCCCCTGCCCGAAGATGACCCACGAGACCGGAAGCGGGCCCCCGCGAACCCCCAAAGAAGCCCCAGGAGGCCTTTAGCAGGCACTCAGGAGTGTTCTCCTCACGCTTGTCCTCCGTGAGTCATCGCTTCGCGCCGTGGCTTCAAAACGAGCCTTGCGCCTGCGCTGCGCGTGGTGTGTGTGTGTGTGTGCATATTGTGTATGTATATAGACATGTATGTATGTGTATATATATGTGCATACATACATACACACATCTAGATGTGGACACACACACATCTGTTTCAGCCCTCCTGGGTACAACTGCCGCTCTGTGGGGGGTCCAGCGGGATACGGTCCTACGGATCTCAGCCGAGAGACTTCTCCGCCCCCGCTCTGCTGCGCTTCTGGGGAGGTCCAGTAACGTGGTGTTCAAGGCCGTGGCCTCGGAGGGATTTGCTCGTGATCCGCCATGGGCGGCTTTGACTTTCTCTCCATAGGACCGCTGGCGGACCCGGCGGCGCGCCTGTGGGCTTTGTTTCCCGCGCGGGCGGCGCAGGGAAAGTTTCCAGGATTGGCCACTAGCCTCAACCCAGGAGCTTTCTTGCATGATCAAGGTGTCAGGGGACCTGCGGCATCACCGCATCACCATTTCTCCTCGCCATCCGTGCCGTCCTCTGTCTCCTCCTTGCCCTCGTCCTCGCCGTCGGCCATCTGTTCTTTACCCGCTTATCTCATCGTCGTCCCTCCGCGTCCTCATCGTGGTAATTTTCCTTCCTTCTGAAAGCGCGCCACTGGATGCCCCCGTAGTTTTTAAGGGATCGTGTGCCAACGGGACCCCCTCACGCCCCTCCCCCCTTCAAGGGGGAGGTGTATTTTCGACCCCCCCCCCCCGCCTTTCAAAGGGGGGGGGGATTTCGGGCCCCGCACCCTCCCCCCCTCTGCGCTGGAGATGGGGGGAGGCTTTCGGACCCCGCCCCCGTGCGCCGGACAGGGAAGCGAGGGGAGTACCTCCCGCTTGCCTGTGATGCGCCGGAGATAGTGGGGGTCAGGGGTGAGAATGTTAGGGTTCGGGTGTTAGGTTTAGGGCGTTAGCGTTATTGTGTTAGGGTTAGGCTTAGGGTTTTAGGGTTCAGGTGGGTCAGGGTTAGGGCGTTCAGGTTAGGGTTAGGGTTCGGGGGTTAGAGTTAGGGTGTTGGGGTTAGGGGCAAGGTGTTGGGGTTAGGGTTAGGAGGTTAGGGTTAGGTGGTAGGATTCGGAGGGGGTAGGGTTAGGGGTAGGGTGAGGGGGGTCAGGTTAGGGTATTAGGGTCAGGGTTAGGGGGTTAGGATTAGGGTTAGGGGGCTCGGATTAGGGTGTTCGGGTTAGGGTTCGGGTTAGGGGGGGATGGTTTGTGTGGCAGCTTCTAGGTTATGGTGATAGGGATCGTATCAGTGGGTTAGGGTTAGGGTTAGGGTGGTAGTGTTAGGTTTAGGGTGTCAGGTTTAGGGCTGGGGAGTTAGAGGGTTAGGGTTAGGGTGGTAGGCTTTTGGGCAATTAGGGTTTCGGTTCGGGTTAGGGTGTTAGGGTTAGGGTTAGAGGGTTAGGGTTAAGGGTTTAGGATTAGGATGGTAGGATTGGGGTGGTAGGGTTAGGGTTGGGAAGTTAGGGTTAGTGCCATGGGTGTTCGGGTTAGGGTGGCAGGGTTATGATCACGGTGGTAGGGTAGGGATTAGGGGTAGGGGGTTAGGGTTAGGGGGGCGGGTTTCGGTTAGGATTAGGGTTCAGCGGTTAGGGTTCGGGTCTGGGGGGCAGGGGTTGAGGGGGCTTAGGAATAGGAGAATATGATTAGGGCTCGGGTTGTGTCTAAGATTAGGGTCAGGGGCTTAGGGTTAGGGTGTTAGGGTAGGAGTTTGGGAGTCAGACGGTTCGGGTTAGGGTAGTAGGTTTAGGTTTGGGTATTGGGTGAGGGTTAAAAGGGGGGCTAATGGGGTTTGGGGTTACGGGTTAGAGGTTAGGGGCGATAGTTTAGGGTCAGGGTTCGGGTTAGGTTTTAAGATTAGGGTGATCGGGTTGGGCTTTGGGTGAGGGTAAGGGCGACGGTATGGGTCAGGGTGAGGATTAGGTTGGGGATTTGGAATAGGATTAGGGTTAGGAGTTTGCGGTCAGGGATAACGGTTAGGTCAGGGGGTTAGGCTCCGGCCCCCCCGCTTGAAAGAGGGGGACGGGTGGGGGTGGGGTACATTTCGAATTCAGAGGGGATGAGGAGGGGGGGGCTCGAACCCCCCCCCTTTTGAGAGGGGGGAGTTCCGCCGACGACGGATCGGGAAGGGGGGGGGGGGGGCTCCGCCAGCGACGGACTGGAGAAAGGGGGGGAGGGGGAGGGGGGGCTCCCAGACCTCCCCGCGCTGGGGGGAATTCAGCGGCGCGCCCTCCGTTCTTCCCCCAGCCCCACTTCCTTGTCCATGGTGTCGCCTCCGAACAGGGCCCAGGGGGGGGGTGCGACTCCACGGCCTCCCATAGAACGACCGATGGACGGCGCGTGATTTTCCTTGTCACCTCTCGTCCTGCATGGGCCTGCTGGCGGTGCCACTTGTTGCGCATGGGTTGTGTACGTCTGTGGGTTATGTGCTGTGGGTTGGCCCTGTGGGAATTCGTTTGTGGGCTCTCGTAGGCCACGCCAGGCTCTCGGCCCGCAACGGCAAACACGGTGCTCTAAGCCCATGGACAAGGCGCATTTCTTGTCGATAGTTCGCCTCTATTGCTATAATGTTCCGACCTACTTTCGCCTCGATCACCAAAAAGAATTTCGAGCACCAAGAAAGTACCGACACTTTGGGTGTTTCTTTGTGTCGGGTCCTGGGAGGCGACACTGTTTCGACACTGTTTCGATACTTGTTCGACACTTCTCTGGGTGCTCGAACTTATGTATGGGATGTGTTCCTTGCGTACGATGGGAGCAGCAGAACTATATTTCTGACAAGGGTATTCTCCCCGACGCCTGCTCTCCTCAATTTTCCCCTGGCATTGCCTGTGCTCTGCTTCGTGTCCCCCTGCTTGGTGCAACCCTTTGCAGCGTTTGTTGCTTGGCCTTTTTGATATCCCCAGGGTCTCGGACCAGAAAGGGAGGGAGTCTCTCACGAACGGCCGCCCTCATGCCTGACGTCCTGCACTAGGGACTAGCGGACACGAGCTCCAGTGTGTTGTGCTATGCGCGTTCCCCGAGTGCAAAGTCAGGAGCTTCGGCAGCACCCAGAATGGCTTTTCGACTTACGATTCCGATCTGGATGCCACATTAACGCAGCAGGGGGTGAAGCAGGTAGAGGCCAAGTACGCTGCTGCGGTTCTGCAGCAGTATCTGTTGCCTTTGCTCGCCAAGAGTGGCAGGTTCGAAATCGCAGGCACAATAGCCGAAGCGCGGATACCTATTCTGAAGCTCAGGTACTGGGGCAATCAACTCGAAGTATTGGACGTCGACTTATCGTGCCATAATACAGAGGCTTTCCCCAACACTCAGCTCCTCCTCGCGTACTCGCGGATGGGCGAGGGCATCATTGCAGCCCTAGGCATCCTCGTGAAGCTCTGGGCCAAATCGGCAGGGGTCTCTGGAGCGCCACAGAAGCACCTCTCCTCTTATTCCATCATCCTCATGGTGTTGTACTTCCTGCAAGTAGTTCACAATGTGCCATGCCTCCCTACGTGGGCGTTCGACGGCAGCACCGAGGTCCCTCCCGAGGGTCGTCAACACTGGAAGTGGACTGGCCCCATGACGCTGCTGCTGTGGGAATTTTTCAAGTTCTACGCCATGGACTTCCAATGGGGAACGGAGGTCCCTAGGCCCAAACAGCTACCATAATCATTGCCGCCCTCTCCGCATGCCCCTCCACGAGGAGACACGTTGTCAGGGGGCAGCAACAAAACATCAACATCAAACAACAAACGTGTGTGGTGGGCGACGGTCACGCCGTGCTGCGACCTGTACAGTGGAGACCCATGCCAAGAAACACTCTGCTTGCCTCCAGGGTTCCCTGGGCTTCTTGGGTTTCGATGGCCTTGCGATGGAAGGCGTGACATTCCCACACCAGAAGCCAATTGACGTCCTGGGGTCTCAGGGTTGGGTTTCTTGTGGAAGGTTTCTTCTGGTCGGGCCCTCACTGTACGAGGTCGTGGCGATGCACATCGGGCAGCGCACCGTCAACTCGGATGAGCGGCACAAGGACCTGCGGGGCCGCTGGGCCTCGCGGCTGCACGTCGAAGACCCCGTCCTGACCAGCAGGAACTTGAACGCCCCGCTGGGCCCCGAGCAGGAGGACAGGGCTCGCTTCGATTCCTCCGATTCGATTCGGTTTCGATGGCTTTCGATTCCGATTCGATTTGATTTCGGATTCCGATTTAGATTCCGACTCCTTCTTGGAGGCATACTAGCCTGCCGATTTCCGCCGATTCGACTCCTCTCCGACTCGGCTGCCGATTTCCGCCGATCCGACTCGCTCCGACCGCCGATCCGCCTTGTCGATTCGATCCTGGGCCCTCCTGGGAGGAGCAGCTCAGGAGGGCCCTCTGGGACGCGGCGCTCGCGCTTCAGAACGGCCAGCTGCCCGTCGGCCTGACGCCCGTGTCCTGCGAGCTCGCGCCGGCCCCCCGCGACCCTCCCGGCGCGGGCGCCGCCTGGCACGGCGTGCCGAGGGGGCCCGGGGTGCAGGCGGGCTTCCCGGGCGGCAGCGGCAGGCCTGTGCAGCAGTCCGTCCCTCCCTCCCTCCCCTCCCCCTCCCTCCCCCCCCCCCCCCTCCCCCCTCCCCCCCCTCCCCCCTTCCCCCACCCCCTCCCTCCTCCCCCTCCCCCCTCCCTCCCTCCCTCCCCCCTCCCCCCTCCCCCCTCCTCCTCCCTCCTCCTCCCTCCTCCCTCGCACGAGAAGCTGCGCCGGTCCTGGGCGCACCCGCGTCTGGCAGTCGACTACGCGCAAGACTGGCCTTTCGCCGGAGTGGCCTTGGGTGCGGGCCCACTGAGATTCCGTCGGTCGCTGGAAGTGGTGCGATACATCGATCCCCATTGCGAGAATGTACTCCTCTTGGCTAACAGCGGCGTGTCTTGGCACTGTGGTGAGGACTAGTCTGGGAGTGATTTTCCGTTGTGAATTCACACGGGGGGACATTCAGAAGTGCTTGGAAATGGCATGGAGTGATCTTCCCCTTGTGAACTAACAGGGGAGAGATTGTATCCCGAACTGGTCATGTATTATTGATTGTGCACCAGGGAGAACCCCAGAAGGCTCTCCCGCCCAGCCAAGCCGAAAGCCGTCGTGCTAGGAGCATACGGGGTCAAGGAGTCCCGCTTGGAGACGCCCTAGCCGGCAGTGCCCAAGATGAATGATTTTCGTAACTGGTAAGTAGCAGTGGCTTGCGCGCTCGGGTTTGGCCCGCTCGCGCCCCCCTGAAGCTGCGCACCAAAGGTCACTCTTGCCTAGGGTCACTCTTGCCCTGCCTGTCGCCGAAGCATTACCGTGTGTGCGTGTGTGCGCACCTTTTCGACTGGTATCATGCACTGGGTCTTCGTTGCCCCAGATGTTCCATGTTGCATCCAGGGCCAGTCTCGAGAACATTGAGCTGTCTACGTTGCCCAGATGTTCTGGCTGATCTTACGCAGCGGGATCGTGTGACCCCACCGCGGCAGCAGCAATCTAAAGTCAGCTGTCCACGTAATTATGTCGAGGCCGCTCCTGGGCGCCCTGTCCACACGTGCAGTGCCACTGCAGCACCAGGCCCTCGGGACCCGAAGTGCTCGGAATGCCTGGCGTCTTGCTGCCGCTCCGCAGTCGAGCGCGGTGGGGCCTCTGCTCCGAGGAGCCGCCCCGAAGGACCAAGACCAGCATATGCTGCTCCTCCTCCTCCTCCTCCTCCTCCTCCTCCTCCTCCTCCTCCTCCTCCTCCTCCTCCTCCTCCTCCTCCTCCTCCTCCTCCTCCTCCTCCTCCATTTCTTGGCGGGATGGTCCGGGGTTGTGGCACCACCCAGGCCCTGCCACGGGCCCGTTTATCCGACGATCCACCCAGAGAGAAAGCTCAGTCAGAGAGGCCGCCCAGTCCCGAGCTTGCTCTGGAGTTCAGTGTGTGACCGCCAGAGGCCCCCCCCACCGCCAGCATTGGACTCTGGTCAGCACGGCGCCTGGGAGAGCCTCTGTGGGGGGAGGGGGGAACCGGGCCTCTGGAAGGGGTGGTGCGAGCGTGGGCGACGCTCCACCAGTGGGGGAGCAGCTCAATTCAGCCTGGGCGTGGCGTCATGGGGAGGCAAGAAATGGCGGGGAACGGGGGGGAAAGTGCCCCTTTTGCACACACTCGGGGCCCGAAAGGGGCCCCCCTGGGGCCCAAAAGGTGCACGAAGGGCGCACGCTTGTCCCCGCCCCCCCTTCACTGCCGCCCCCCCATTGAGCAACGCGCAGTCAGCGGCCCTGGCCACGGCCTCGCCCACCTCCTCCTCCTCCTCCTCCTCCTCCCCATCCTCCTCCTCCTTCTCCTCCTCATTCTCCTCATTCTCCTCCTCCTCCTCTTCCTCCTCCTCCCCCTCCTCCTCCTCCGCTTCCCCCCCTTCTCCCACTCCTTATCATCCTTCTCCTCCTCCTCATCCTCATCCTCATCCTCATCTTCATCCTCCTCCTTTTTCTCCTCCTGCATCTCCTCCTCCTCCTCCGAAGCGGTGGCTCCTTCGTTCGTTCGCTCGCTCGTTTTAGTCCTCAGCCCCCGCTGCAGGGGATGCCGTGGTTCCCCTACGGCGGTGCCCCCGGCGCCGTGCGCGGGCCGTCCGTGCCGCCGAGCGCCCTGGCCCGCGGCCCGCCGCCCGACCCGGGCAGCTTCCCCGTGGCGCCCGTGGGAGGCTCGGGGGCGATCTTACCCATTTAAAGTGTGAGGATAGGTCGAGGACAACGCGCCCCCGATTCCCCTAATCATTCGCTTTACCTGATAGAACTGTTCAACTCCAGCTATCCGGAGGGAAACTTCGGAGGGAACCAGCCACTAGATGGTTCGATTAGTCTTTCGCCCCTGTACCCAAGTATGACGAACGATTGGCGCGTCAGTATCGCTACGAGCATCCATCAGAGTGTCCGAGAGCCAGGAGCGAAACAAGGACGTGCAGCCAAGTCGCTGAGATCAGGGCCACGCTCGGTCCAGGCGGGGCTCTGGTTTTCAGACCGCTCCTGAGATCCTGGTCGGGGAACCGGCTCGTGGTCCAGGATCGCCGAGGCCAGGAAAGCCTTCTCGTTCCTCACGTGGCGCTCCCTATGGTAGCACGATGACTGTACGTATGCATGCATGTTCCCTGAGATCCAGCCGTCGCAATTGTCTCGAGCTGGTCGGCTTCGCATGGTTTCGGGCCCCAGGGCCCTCGCAGATCGACGCGGCTCGAAATGTAATGGCGCCAAAGATAGGGTCCAGGGCTCCTGTCGTGTTTTTTTTTGTCACGAGGTTGCAGTTTCGTTTGCGCGGTCGGATCGCAGGGTTCGTTGGTTTCAAGAGTGCGTATTGCGCGGGCGTTCGCAATGTGGCACGATGCTGGCCTCGCGGACTGGGGGGCCCGATTACTGTACGTGGCTGGGCGCGCACTTCTTTTGTGGGCCCCACAGAGAGGGAGGTTGACCCCCAAGTTTTCCCGTCCTGGAAAGGTCACGACTGGCGGTTCTGGTAGCTTTCGGGCTGCGAGGGGCCTCGCCGGGCCCTGAGGCCGTCAGACAACAACAAAAAAACAGAGAGGATCGAACATTGGTCCCAGGGCAGGGGTCCTGACGTCTGAGGGCCCGCGTCGTGAACAAAGCACGACGTCGGAGTTCTGGGGAGGAGTAGGGGGGCGCGAATATCACGGCCCGGACTGGCATCTCCCAGATGCCTCTGTCCCTTGCCCCCCCCCCCCCCCCCCACGTAGGCGCCCCAGCAGAGTTGCGACCACACCGCGTGGTGACTCGGGGTCGCCGCACGGTCTTGGGACTCGGGTCGTTCTCCGGGGTTGTCTCGGGCGACTGGGGGACCAAAACCGCACGGCGACGGACCGTCTCGAGGCCACCGCGCGGTCTGTCGCCGCATGGTTTTGGGGCCCTTCTCCCCCCTCGTCCCAGACCCCCGTCGCCATTTTTTTTTTTTTTTTTTTTCCACAGCGTCCACCCCCAGAGGTCTCGACCCCGCTCTTCCCCCAGGGCCAGCTTCTCATCACGCGTAGTTGCGCTGCCGGCCCCGAGGCCCGGCGAGAGCCCCCAGGGGCTGGAAAGAGCGAAGGATTGTGCGCCGGTGCTTCTTTGCGCCTGCTTCGAGGGGGCCCAGACGGTCCGTGCCCACGCATCTGGCCCTGGTCGTCTTGCCCCCCCGGGTGCTGGGAGGGAGAGCTGCGTCTGCTCTTGGTGCCAGGGAGGTGTCGCGCGCCCGCCGGAGCGCCGAATGTCTGCGACGGCATGCTGGGTGGTTCAAAGGCGGGGTCCCGAGGGATGGGGTCCTAAGGATGGGAAGGGATCCGAGGGAGAATGTACACTGCTTGAGGCGCTTCGTCCTTAGGACCCCATCCCTCAGGACCCCAACTTTGAACCGCCGACACGCGCGCACACCGGGCTGGCGGCAAGGAACCCACCGAAAGCAATCATCTGACCCACCCTGCCGTCAAGACGCTGAAGTGAGGGCCGCTTTGGGCCCCGAGGGGGCTCGCCGCTCCCGAGGTCTCTCCGTGGTTGTTCCTCCGGCCCGCCTCGTGCACCCAGGCTGTCCCGGTGCCAAAAGCTTCGCATCGCTCGGACGTGCGCATTTTTTCCTCGGTGGGGACGAGGAGCATCGTTGATCATTTGGCGAAAAAACCACGCACGAAACCGAAAAAAACACAGGGAATGGACGTCCGAGCGAAGGCCAGAAAGGGGGCTCCGCTCCTTCTGCCGCGTCCCCTTCCTGCAGCAGCCCGCCTGCCCTCCACCCGGCGCCCCCTCCGCAGGCGGCGGGCCCCGGGGGGAGGGAGTGAGAAGGGGCCGGGCCTTCTCGGAAGGCTCGGCGGTCCCCCAGCCTCCGGCGAAGCTTGCTGGGCCTGCCCGGCAGACACCACACACCTCTCAGGAGGCGCGAGGGCGGTACAAAATATTTGTTTTCGCTGTCGGGGGCGCCTGTCCCAGGGCGGCTGGGAAGTTTATACCCTCACGGTGGCACCGTAGGGGTATAAACTTTCCAGCCGCCCAGGGACAGGCGCCCCCGACAGCGAAAAAGTTTATTTTATACCGTTCTTCGCTCGCTGGCTCACCTTCTGCGCGCCGCCGAGTCTGGTTGTTGGGTCATAACTCGGCTCTCCGGCGGCCGTTCGGGACGAGCCGGGCATCCCAAGAACGCTCTCGGCGAGGCGCAGCCGTTGGAACGCATCCAGAGGGCGGCAGGCCGCCAAGAACCCACGAAAACGACCGAAAACCTAGAACCTCGAAGTCCTAACCTCGAAGGCGGCGGGCCCGAGGGCGCGCAGGGTCTCGTGCGCCCGGCCGCCCCGCGGGGCGGCCCCTCGCCGCAGCCGGCCCGGCCCTCCGCCGCCGCGCCGCTGCCGCCCGGCGGCCCCGCGGCGGCCCAGACCAAGGATCGGTGGTTCCAAGATGGTGTTCTGAGTGAGACCCAGACCCCCTCGGGTAATGAAAAAATCGCGATGGGAGGTTTTTCGCTAAGCTCGGCCTCCGAGGTCCCTTTCCGGGTCTCGGGACCGTCAAAAGACGATTCAGGATGAGAGACCGGTCCTGGGGAATTGGTCGAGATCTCTGGGGGTCGACGTTGTGACAAAATCGCGGCGTCGGGGGTCTGAGATGCCATGGCCCGGTGGGGATGGGGCCCCCTGGGGGGCGCATGCGACCCCCCCCGGGGCCGACTCGAGCACGCAGACGGCCACGTCTTGTGAGACGCCGCGTCTACGGCGTCTCGGCGTACGCGCTTCGCACGCGCAAGAGCGCCCACAGGTAGGGTCCTCAAAGATGATGGGTTGAATTTGTTCCTGGGCCAGGTCCCCTTGCCTTTCTAGAGAGTTGCGCGCAGGAACCTGACAGTTTTCTTTCCTGGTCGTCGGTGCAACTTTTGAGGTGTCGGCGCGTCGCCCATGGCGGCCAGCTGATCCCAAGCAGACATTGCATACTGAGAAAGAAAGTGGCGCACCTCCCGAGCGCCCTGCGCCCCGACCCTCTAGACTTGGCCCCACAGGCATCTTCAAGAGATAGGACGGGATCCAAGGGTAGATTACAGTCAACCCGC